TTTATCATTTTGATTCCCTCTTTCATTTTACCCAACGTCTTCTTTTACCAACCTGGTAAGCATTAAGGAATGTGTAGAAGCAGATGGAGGGCAGGCACTCTGGGCCAAGACGCACACGTCTGGCAGCTTCCTTCACATTCATTACTTTATCCAGTTTGTCAGAGTCTTTCAGTTCAGGCAGAGGAATTCTACAAGCACACATTTTTACGAACTAAAAGCACCTTCCAGATTGTCAGTTTAAACAGAGAAAGAAGAACCTTCCCATGCAACCCTATACTTCAATACTCAAATAGAAAAAAAAATAATAATTTGGAAAAATAAAAGACTATGTAAAAGATTATCTGATGAGAAAAAGAGGTAATAACTTTACGAATTCCAGACAGGCAGTGGAACAAGGTAAGTAATGAGTATGACCTGAAAAGATTAGCAGGCAATCAAATAAAATTTTATCAAGGAAAATCTAGATCGATGTGAAGGGCCAAGGCAGAGGGTTTTATGCTAAGCTTTCCATAACCTCCCTTAGAAATCTTATGGCTAAAGCTGGCTACAGCTGAAATGGCCAAAGAGCTAAAAATGTCATGTAACCAGCGATGCAGACTTGGCATGACAAGACTGGATTTAACAAGACTTCTCTACACATCATTCCCTTGGTACCTGTTTTGGGGAGGAGCGTTAGGGTCTTGTTTTTTACTTTTTGATCCTACACTATCTTTTTTAGGTTTTTTCTTCTTTGGTTTTCCTTCCTCGTTTTCTCCTTCTTCATCTTCATCATCCAAAGGCACATCAAACTCTGGTTCTTTCAGTAAGCCAAAGAACACCTGCAAGCCAATAAGATAGGTATGATGCAAAACCATAACTGCTGTTCTTACTGAAAACTGATTTTTGAAATGGAAACTCTTTAATGTTATAGCCAAACAGTAGAGCTGCCCCTTTAAAACTGGTACGTCTAATATTACTGCATACACTACTGTTAGCCTGGAACAAGTGTAGTGCATGTTCTCCTGTTTTACCCAACAACTGATCTGGAGAACTCTACATTCTCCCCTTACCTCCCATAAAGCAAAGTCCCTACAGCTCATATATTTTGTCAAGTACTGTGACATTACACTATCAAGATCTGCTTGAACAGGCCTTGCAGTAACAACTGGCGCTAAGAATTACTGCTGTTGTACAAGAGGAAGCCGAAGACACAGGTGTCAAAGATAAAATTACAGAGTGATTCAGGAGTTTAAGTCCAGGTCAGTGAACAGAATACAAAGTTGTCTCTCACTGGGATTCAGCAGTTTCTTCTACGTGACACATTTTGATCACTCTACTGGGGCCAACAGCTATTTGTACAATTCTTTTCCTTTTTTCTGTTCATGTTGTCTTTTAAGATCTCAAGTGAGAATAGTCAGTCTAGACTAAGTAAGGTGTCTTCCTGAAAAACTACTCCAGAACCGTTCTGATAATAAAAGCGCAACAATCCTTCCCTCCTACCTTTGCTTTATTTGCCTCTCGTTTTGCCTCCCCAGCCAAGCTTCCAACCATGGCATCTATCTGCTGTTTACTTCGAGGCATTCCATCAAAGATATCAATGTAGAGATGTTCCTGAACAATGTTCCAGATCTGATTGTTCTGCTTTTCCTGCAGATGCCTCTTCAAGAGTTGGTAAGAGTCCCGGGAAATACGCAGCACAAACTTGCTCGTTCGGAAATCCAGCATGGTCTCGTTACCTTTCATATGTTCTTTTTTGGTTAAACTAGATAATACCCGGAGGTCGTCCTGGTAATAACACTCCTGATCCCCATGAAATCTACAGAAAAAAAATAACACATGATAGGAGATGATGTTCTTGTAATAAGTCTTGTAAGCGCACATTTATTTACATCACTTTAACATAAAACACGTAAGTACCACTTGGAAGCTACTAACTATATATGGGATTATTTTTTAATAAAATCAATTTAATCCAGGGGGGGAATAGATCAGTGACTTAAACTGCATAAAGCAAAAGTATTCAACAGGAGAATCTCAGTGAAATGTATATGCACAAAGGGTTGCCTGAAGTAAATAGTTACACTAACATGTTTATTTACATAAATGAAACCCAAATTTGTGGTATAACAAAGTAAAAGGCATCTCTTATGTAAGACTACCTGGATGCACTTAAGAGTTGATTCATTATATAAATATGTACATTTACCACTGAGTATGTTTCTCACTCTTCACTCGTTATCTAACAGCTGCCGTTTATCTAGAGAAAACAAGCTTTCCATTTTTATTCAAATCATGTTATAAAATACTCGCAGCAGGAAACAGCTATTTGCAGAACTCTTTTTGCTGACTGTACTTGGGGAAGAAAAAGTTACCCTTTTGAGTTGAAGTATTTCATAATCAGTCTGAACCCATAAAGCAGACTGAACTTAAGTTTCTCCTCAAGCGATAAAGAAATGAAACATAGTAAAAGCACAGAAAACGGTAATTAGCTATAAATTAATTCTTTTAATCCTATTAGAAGAATTTCAATGTAGATGCTATGACATCAGCAAATATAACACACATTGCTTTGTCATCTCAGTGCAATTTTACACTGCTAGAAAATGAGCCCACTATCTTTCCCTAAAGTAGCATCTTCTCCTCATTGATACCTTGAAACCAGGTGCCCACCTGCTCATCATAAAGACTGCTCAAAATCTGCATGGGTAGAGTTCAAATGTAGTTTGCACAACTTTCTGACACGGGAGGTTGGGAAAGGATTAAGAACAATTACAGTAATCCACAGAATCATTAGGTCAGGTTTCAAATCCCTTCAGCATTACCAAATAATGCGTACATAAACACACACACCTTAAGCTCAGACTTAATAAAAGAAGCGAACACCAAATAACACAAATCAACAACTGAAAATAAGTTACCTTTCAAAAAAAGACTTTGCCTCACTCTCGTGCTGGTTGTAGACCAACTCCAAGTACATGTGCACAAAGAGAGGATAAAACAGCTGAGACAATTCAGCTCGATGACAGTCCAGCGAGCACTCAATGAAGTTTTTTAATCCGCTGTAGTATTCCTCGTACAGCGTGGGGTCCCCCTGCTGATTGTAGGCGGATAATACTGCGCTCACATCTGGCTGATCTTCCACAACACCTCCTCCAACTGCAAAAGCGTTTAACAACAGCTTGTAAGACCGCCTGACAGAGCTAGCAACTATACAGAGGCTGACAACAATTCTGCCAAGGTGAGGCACTTGAGCAAAACTGAACATTAAGTTCAGCTGTACGTTGAAATGATACAATTGAGAGGACAGCAGTATGCTAACTACAGTCCATCAGCCTATTCTCCAAGCACCCTTTGCTGTTTTTTGTGTTTTCCCTGCCAATAGTTGCCTATAAGGTATTTAACGTAGTGCCTAATCCATCTAAGTGGAAAGATGCCACCATCATCACCAGAATCAACTACCTTTACAGCAAAGGCCAGAAACTGTCAAATGAGGAGCTGAACCTTTCCAAGCCTGTAAAACACATCCACTATAACTGTTGTGTTTCTAGTAACCAAACAAACGGAGTTTGTCAAGTGAGCAAGAACACCACAGAACCATTACAGGGCGATGATTTTTTGTCACTTGCTAATGCTCCACAGCAGTCATTAAACACATTCATTGCTTTGTGTTATAGAAAAAAATAAAATTGACTTCATACTACACACTTACTTGAACTCAGATACATAAGTTCCCAAAACACTTTATTACAAAACAGTATTATACAAAGCTGCCCTACAAAACAACTTGACCAAAAGTACTTAGACTTAAATTATCTGTATGACATTTCAAACAGCTGGCAACCCCATACATGAGAAACGTTTAAAGCCTCCTCTATAATTATCTTATGGCTCTTTCTGTAAAATGCAGCCTGTACGTCAGGACTCTGGTCTTATCCCTGCAGCCACATCCTGGACCATCACCTTGAACTACAAAGGAAACATTTATCCTCTTGCAATGCTGTTAGCTAACAGGATGCACAGACAACGGGAAGCATCCTTTCCTTTGACAGTGCTCCCTGTAAGCAAGAGATCCCCTACCCTTGGTCCCTTCCTCCAGGAGGAGCACCCTGAGAGATCCCAGTCTCTTCCCAAGTTGTGTGGGGGACTGATGGACCCAGGGCTGCCCACCGACGATGAAGCCTAACCCCGGGGAGTGCCACCCTAGGGGATGCACAGCCTTGCACCCTAGAATAAAGAAGAGCCCCGGAGGCTGCAAGAGCCGAGGGCACCCCAAATCCCCAAGGGGCCCCTGCAGACTGTGGCAGCACCTCCCGCATCTCCCCCTCAGGCCTCACCTTTCCCCGGCGGCACGGTTGCCGCTGCCGCCACCCCGGGGCTGGCAGAGGCGACGGTGGCGACGCTGCCTCCTATGGAGATGGCGGCAGCGGCGGTGACCCGGTTGAGCAGCGCCTCGCTGCCGCCCGCATCCCCCTCGCCTCCGGCCGTTCCCAAAAGCCCGGCTCCGGCGGGGCTGAGGGCAGCGGCTCCCAAGTCGTCGCCGAGCAGGCGAGCTTCCCGGCGGAGGATCTCCTCGGACTCGCGCAGGTTGCTCCTCCGCAGGAACTGCAGCACGGCCACCAGCGTCTGCCGGTCCAGCGCCGCGGGGGAAGCGGCCGGGCCCGGTGCCGCAGCCTTAGCAGCAGCGGCGGCTGCCGCCTCCCCGCCGTTTCCCGCCGGCTCCCCCTCAGCCGCCGGAGCCGGAGGAGCGGCGGGGGTTGTGGCGGAGGAGGCGGCGGCGGCCGGGGGAGCGGCGGCGGGGGGCTGCGGCGGCGTCCCCGCCTCAGGGTCGGGCTTCCCCGCCGCCACCTCCGGCGGCTCCTCAGCTACCGCCGCCATCTTGCATCGCCCCCCATTCGCCGCCGGCAAAGCGCGGACGCTTTTGCGACAGTCAGGGCAAAGGGCCGGGCGCTCGCGGCTTCGCTTTGCGACGGCGCCGGAGGTGCTTTACGGCGGCGGCGAGGCGAAGCGCTGTGTGTGGGGGAGCCTGGAGGACTACAACTCCCAGCATCCCCCGCGCGCCGCCAGCCGCCGGCCCCGCGGTTGCCCCCCGGTGCCCGCCCCGAGCGATGGAGGCGGAGGCGGACGCCGGCTCCGTGCTCTCGGGCGGGGAGGGGGCGGCGGCGGCTGGCAGCGGGGCCCGCCGAGGAGGAGCGGGAGATGGAGGGAGCCCCCAGCTGCTCGGGGTCGCGCCCCGTCCCCTTCGAGTTCGAGCGGAGCCGCTCCGAGTCCAGCGGCGACGACGAGGAGGAGGAGGAGGACGACGACGAGGACGATGAGGAGGAGGAGGAGGAGGAGGAGATGGAGGAAGAGGAGCTCGAAGGGGACCCCGGGGCACGCTTCGGGACGGACGACTGGCGAGCTCGACTCGGACGACGACCGGGAGGTAGCGGGGGGGCGGCCGTGAGGCGCCCAACGGCTGTAACGGCCGCAACGGCCGCGTCGCGCGGCAGGGCCCGGCTCCCGGCGTGCCCCGCGCCGCTGGCGGGCGCGTGCGGCTCGAGGCGGGAGCGCTGAGGGGGGAAGGTGGGGGGGGGGGGAAGGTGCCTGGTGGCCTCAGGGACAGCTCCCGGGGCTAAGCCAGCGCTGAAGCTGGGCTTTGGGGAGGTAACAGGCTTCTGGCAGGGAAATTCTTTATGTATAGTCCTCGTAAATGCACATCGTAACCAGAATTTGGAGCCCCAAAGCTCTCTTCCACGCGCTTTCCAAGTAACGGTTTTGTTTGCCACCAGTGTTCGCTTCGAGCTTGCTGATGGTGTGATGTTTGCTGACAGAGTTTATTCAGAATCGTTTTTCCCCCCAAAAAAGTTGGTTTGTAGTTTGCTTTTAAGCAGTTCATGAAATAAATAGGATCGTGAAATAAATTAGATTCATAAAATAAACTGGATCACCATTCCCAAAAAAAAAAAAGATCAATTCTGAAAACTAGGCAGAAATCTTCAAAAAAGAGCTTTATACGACAAACGATTGACCTCTTAGGAAAACCCATTTCTGTAATTTTTTCTGTAACTTTTTCATGGTTCAAGGATGTGATATTTCAGAAGCTGCAAATGCGTAACTTCACGTCTTAGCCTCTATATTTAAACTCTTATCAACTCTTTTTGCTTGTAGCGGATGATCAACCTGGCAGAGTTGACCCCTTACATCCTCTGTTCCATCTGCAAAGGTTACTTTATCGATGCTACAACTATTACAGAGTGTCTGCACACCTGTGAGTACCAGTGCTTCCATTCTAAGAATCTAGATGCAAATTCAGACAAGAATCAGGTGTTCAGGTGTTCTGGCTTCACAAAGGTAATTTGCTACTGATAGTGTTTGTTGTGTTTATTCTTGTGTATTTCCATGAGGAAAATGCATTTGTGGATATGTCAAGCATCAGAAAATCATGAAGTCAGCTTAGTTACCCAAACTGAGAGGGAAGAAGGGAATATTGTATAGAGAATGAGGAAGTCCAAGTAAAACAAAAACAGAACAACTACATACCTTATGTTTTTAAGCAGGCTCTAATAATTTGCAACATGTATCAGACTTAATAATGAGGATTATAATCCACAAATACCCAGGAGTACAGTATGCCATATGGGCTGCTGTTTACTTAAGTTTGATAGAGTCATTGAAAGACTTTGTTTTGTCTCTGACAAACCTTATTGACGAGTCTAAATGTAGTTGTTTCTCTTGCTTAAACAGTTAGCGTTGTATAATGGACACATGACTTAATGGATTTCTTTTCTTTACAGTTTGTAAAAGCTGCATAGTGAGACACTTCTACTATAGCAACAGATGTCCAAAATGCAATATAGTTGTACATCAGACACAGCCCCTTTATAATATCAGGTAATAAGTTGGTGCTGCTTTTGTAGGGGCAACTTCAGTCGAGTTTTGCTGTTTGCTTTTAAATGTTTCGTTCTTGGTGCCTGTACAGTGCTTTCCTATGTCAAATGAAGGAAGAGTTACAAGAGAGATATTGTTTTATTTGTTTATGTAAGCTTAATAGCAAATGTAAAAATATTCAGTTCCTTGTTTTTTGAAAATTCTTTCCCTTTCTAGGGTTTGTTTACCCTTCCACCCTGGCTATTTTTATATGTTTGCACAGTGTTACAGATCATTGAGGTTTTAGCTATTTGTTTTGATTGTCTTTTAGACAAAGCTTTTGTTGGCATGGTTTAGTTTTTAACTACGAAAATGGAGTTTTGGTTTCTTGAGCAATTCTTGAAGGTTTTTTTTGTTTTTTGTTTTTTTTTAACTTAAAGGCTTCTTTAGAAGCTCTGTTGTCAGGACATGAATTAAAGCAGGTAGAGTTGCTGCTCTGTTGCTTTTATGTATGTCATATTTCAACAATATGTTTGTTGGTTTTCTCCCAGTTTGGGGTAATACAGAATGTTTTGAATTAAAGACACTCTTATTTTTATTCTCTTTGATAGGCTGGACCGGCAGCTACAAGACATAGTCTATAAATTAGTTGTCAATTTAGAGGAAAGTAAGTCCATTTCTTTATTGCCATCTAGAGTTTCAAAGCATGAGCAGAAAGAACGGTTGTTTGAAGTCTCATTTTTAACTCTTAGCTCCTTAAAGTAATTCCATAACATTTGATTTTAAATCTTAATTATCTATGCAAACTTGCATCTTTCTGACCACAAACTACTGTTGTGCATGGCCGTATGTACCCCGGACAGGTGACCATGTGTAGAATGAAACATGGTATGCAACAGTGTTCTGGAAGGTTTATTTTTAATTACTACAATGAAAGAGCAGTGATGTTGCAGTTAGCTTTGTTAATAAATTCCTATTCCAGGTTTAGCTGTCTGCCAGATAACATGCATTGTATTTTTAAAACAACTCTGTTTTTTGTGTTTTTCCCTGAAAAACACCAAAACAGGAAAAAGCATCCATTCTGATGATGGACCCAGCAGGCACTGTGCTGAAGATGTTTTGTTTTGCTCTCTAATGCAACACAGGTGTTATTGTGTACAAACACACATCCAGATGTTTTGTAGTCATGCTTTGTATTTTTGTATAAATAAAATAACATTCCATCTAATCAATACTTCATTTGTCTCAGCTGAGGAAAAAAGTTGCTGGGACTGACTGATTCTCTCAAATGCTTTTTTTTCTCCCCACTTCTTTTTTTTTTTTTCTGATTTATTAGGTGTGTTCACTGTCACATGTCCATTATGCTAGGGTGGACTGAATGAAATACACATGTTTAGTGGACTATATACACGGGCTATAGATATGAAAGTAAGAGTAATGACAGCCAGAAGGATACTTCTTTGTGCAGTTATTTCAGTATGGTTTTTGTCCAACTTAGCCTTTTTTTTTTCCATTTTTTACTAACAAAATCTGAGTCCAGGTATTTCCAGTAGCCCAGCTTTGTATGGAATATTAGGGATAATGCAGGTCTGTAGGCACTTGAAAAGCATTTCAGCTCTGATGAATGGAAACTGTATGGATGTTCTCAGCATCTGAAATAGCATTCTAATCTTTTCCGTATTGTTTTGGCTTCTTTTCTCAGGAGAAAAAAAGCAAATGCATGACTTTTATAAAGAAAGAGGATTAGAAGTGCCCAAACCAGGTGAGCTTTAATCATTTAGAGGACACTGTTAAGGAAATATTTACTATCCCACTTATCTTAGCTTTCCTTCAAATATTAACTCACAACTAAAGAAAACAGGCAGTAATGAAAGTATGGGATTCTTGATTTTCATAGTTCTCAAATTACACAAATAGAAGATGAAATGAGCAACACTTAAACACAGATTGTGGTTGGGTATTTTTACGGAGTATATTTCACCTACACCCAGGAAAATATATTTAAAGTACCAGCAGATTGTATTTTCTAGCCCTTAATAAACATTGGAAGTGAAGAAGGTGGAAAAATAAGAACTTGAACATCCATAGACAGATTATCTGAGGGATTATCTTAGTTATTTTTGTCTTACTGTCAAATAAACCTCTGTTTGGAGAGATGCTGAGCTGAAAGCTAATACAACGCTGGTTCAAATACCCAGGATGAAAAGTATAAACAGCTGATTTGGAAAAAAAAAATTAGGATGAATTTCATGGGCGCTTTTTCCCCATGAGCTCATCGGTTTTGGTTGGCGCACATTAGTGTCTTATGCTGTTTTTATTTCAAGTTGTTTGCATTTTGGCTATTTGAATATTTTAGCTGTCCCACAGCCAGTTCCAGCGAGCAGAGGAAGACCTCGAAAAGTTCTGGGCTCTGTGTTCCGGATCCCACCAGAGCTTGACATCTCAATACTTCTGGAATTCATCGGGTGAGTTGGGGGCAAATGTAAGAGCAAGTGGCTGATACAAGAGCTTTTAGTTTTGAGTGTGTACTTCTTCTATCTTGAATGGCAAGTGGGGGGCTGGTTTTAGCTTACTGTGCAACAGTGACTGCCATCTACAAATACCTTAGATGAGGCAGGTAAGGTTAAATATTTAAGGTGTCTTCTTACGAAAATAGATATCTAAAAAGTGTAGAGCTTTAAAACTTAGATGTATTCCTTTTATTTTCAATAAAGTAGTGTAGTCTCAGTAAATTTAATAATACCTGTCTCTTGTGCTTCCTAAATCCCTGTAGGTGGCAGTACCGTTAATGATGACTATACTAGGACTTGCTCGTGCAACTAGGGGGCTGCAACCATACATGATGACACGCTTTTATTAGCCATAAAAAACATGTATTCTGTTGACTCCATGCCAGAAAGGGTTGTAGCCCTTCTGAACTGGGGAAAAGGAAGCAAGGAGACATCTCTGAAATTGGCATAGTATTAATGTATTGGCATAGTATTAGTGTTTCGGGCACTACAGTACAGTTCATTCAGGATACAGCACACAGACACGAGTGACCAGACTACTCTACTCCTAGTTACAAAATATAGTGTCTGCCTGATGCTCTGTGTCTAGGAGAGTCTTTTTTTTTCTGCTTTGCTGAGCAATATAGGTCATTTATTGCAGTCAGGTTTTTACTGTAGCCATTTTGCTACTCCAGTAGAAAACATGTTCTTGATGTATTTATTAACTTCTAACATTTAGGGCTAAGGGACTTCTCTGACAAGGTGCTAGAAACTTGAGACCTACAAGGAATTTGTCAAATGCAATTGGTGGTTTGATAATTCATAAGCAGCAAGTTTTATCTGACCAAAACAAGCTAGGAAATCCAAGCAGCAAGAGCAGTAATTCCCTAAATGGTATAAATGGGACTAACAGTGCTATTATTAAGTTTGCCTGACAGTTTCCAAGGCTTTATTGATTTATACTGAAGCTTTTGTATTGGGCATTGCCTTTTAGCCATAGCTTGGAGGGGTTGAGGGAGGGAATTCCAGCCCAAACGTTTGAGCTGTTTTCAGGAACACGGTAAGCAGAAATTGTATTGCTTTGTCCACATGCAGATTTACATGGCAGCGATAGAGAAATAACATAGATTAAAAGCTTTAACTGTGCAGAGAGGAAGTGGCTTGACTCTTGTGCAGCACATACCCCTCTATGCAGACTGCCTCTGTCTTTAGCCTGACTGTCTGCACAAAATGTTTGGAAAGCTCATTACATAATTATTGCAAGCTAATTTGCACAAGTGATGGAAAATGAAGGCCTCACAAACTGGGAAGCTATGAGCAAAGCACATCAGCTTGATTTGACTTCATGTCCTAACTCTTTTGCATCTTATATCCAATTTTTCTGCTGCCTGGAGGTAGGGTGGCTTATTTTAGGTGTGGTTAACCGTTATGTGGCTTCCTTATTTCTTTAAATTGATAAGATAGGAGATTGTAGAAAGAAGGGCTTACAGCTAAACATCTAAATTCCTGCCTGTGCCATGAAAAATGCTCGTGACTCCACATAATTGACTTCTATGGTAGTTTCCTGTATGCCTGACTTGCAGGGGTGCTTCGTGCTCACAAATGCAGCTTAAAGCTGTGGGAGTCATGACTAGAACAGTACTATGAAGTGTTCTGCAGTCAAATCCAGTTTTAGATGTCTCAAACTGAGCACGTGCCATCCTTGGTTACTTTTTGACACAGTCTGTCTCTGGTTCCTCTTTTTAAACAAGGTATTATATTGCTCCTCTGCTGCGTAGGATGGTGTGGGAATACATTCAGACGTTGGAATAAGTGAGACTAGGAGGAAATTAATGCTTTCACATTACGAGCAGGATTGTAAGTAAAGCAAAGTCACGTATTGAACAAGGAGAGGAAAGCAAAGACACAGCTATTCAATGTGTATTGTCTAGAGAACATTAAAAGATCATTTTTAATTGTATTTATAACGGCTTTTCTTCTTCAATTAATGTTGCATGAGCCTCATCATATATTTAATGCAGTCTCCCAGTGGTCTTGGTGCTCAGGCATGATTTGTTACCTTGTTGGTTAAAATGTGATGAGATGGATGTATGCAGACATAACTTAAAATGTTTTGACTGAAATTTCAGTAGAAAATAACAAATCTAATGCCATTTACCCTACGCTTGTGTTGGGCTAGGAATATACACGTGGTTATTTTATTGCCTCAGCTGTGGCTGTACCTCAGGTTAGCATCTAGACAGGAGTAGGAGGGATGCTCATTCAGGGACCTGTGGCAGGTACTGCTGGGCTGGCCCGCCAGGTGGCAGAAGGAGCATGCTTACACCAACATTGCCGTGTCTGAGTGATTCCTTGCCAGTTGCAATGTAAAAATGACTTTAATAACTGAAATTAGATTTTATTCCAAGTATGTCCCTTTCAGGTTGGAACACTGTTTCTTGATCGCTCTATAGAAAGCTTCCTTAGATTATCTTGACTGCAGGATTAGATACAGTTTGAATTCAGTGTGGCAAAGTACTTCGATTTAGATCTCTGCTGTGAAAGGCAACCACTTACTCCCCCTGTGGTCCTGGGTGATTCTCAGCAGGTACAGCTTTTTTTTTTTTTATTTTATTTCAGAGCAAGAGAAAGTAGCCAGACACTTTAGATCTCAAAACTAATTAAACATGCACGTGCCTGCGTGTGGAACAAGATGGCTTTTGAATCTGTGTTGTATTTATTTTTTCCCGGTAGTTTTATTTCAAGCTTCCATTCTAGTGCTAGCAGCAAAGCAATCATGAATGTGCAAATAACATCTATAGCATGTGAGACTTGTCCACTGTGTTTTCGTTATTTGTATGGAAGGAAGCACAGAAGGATTGGAACAAAAAAAGGATGATGGCTTGACATCTGTGGCAATTTATTTTTGAAACATTTTTTAGCCTTTGATCTTATCTTATACCTTATCTTTAAGGGTTAATCTGTTTTCTTCAAAGGTCAAAATCAAGCAGTTTATCTTGGCAATGAGATGTTAAGAAAGCTCTTTGTATAAAGAAAACTCAGAATAGATTGGACAATCCAGCAGAAATTCTTACTTTGAAAGTTGATGTTGTCTATGTTATGTCTTTAGAGTATAGTAAGTAGCCTCCTGTGGCAGTGGAACTATATCAAAGAAAATGACAGCAGGAGTGGAAAGGCTTGTATGTTTGCTTCATAGTAAATTGAAATTTCACTTCAGTGGCAGAAATTGGTGATAGTTCTTAAGTCTGTCTGATGGTTAGTATGTATTTAGAGGTGGAGTTATCTAATTACAGTAATTTGAAGTGTCATGCTAATGTGTGGTCTGCACAAGCATTACAAGTGCTTGCTATGCAAGCAAATGGTCAGTAGAAATATAGTTAATTTATAGTGCTATTTGATTTTTGCCTTTTCCAATGCAGTGAAATACTGCAATTTAACCTTGCTATGCATGTACTTGCTAAAGCAATACAAGAGTAAGGGAATGTCATGAGCTGTGCTTAATTCATTGAGAATTTGATATGCTGCCCTACAGGATGGGGGTGTGGAGCCTAGATAACAGTCACATGCTCAGGCTGTGTAAATCAATGAACCTCTATTGAAGGCAGGTAGGAATTTGGTCATTTGCCACCCTGTGTGTGTTTTACCTTCCAGAGAAGCAACTGCTGCTTTTCTGAGTTCCTAGATTGCATTACCATTAATCCTGTGATTATAAATAGTCTGGAAGGCCAACCACTGGCCCAGAAAGCCTCTTTAGTGGTTGGGCATGTTCTGTCAGCAGCTTTTAGGTACTGTCTGTTAAAGTTCCAAACATCAAGGATAATGAAGTGTGGATGTTTAAACAGCATTAATATTACAGCCTGTTCCCATGAAAACTAATGTTAGTGTGTGTAAAAAGAGCTTTAGGATGTGTTGATTTATTTTCCATTTCATGTAGACAAACTTTAAAGTCGTAAACAGCTGAATTCACAAAAAGAAATGGGGAACCAAATAAAGGCTTGGTGGGAAAGATACATATAACTTCAGCGTAATATTGTTTTATATACTAGTTTAATGAAAGGAAGAGTCTGATTCAAAAATAAGCTTGGTATGTCAGACTATTAAATCAGGAAGTCATTATTGTAAGAAAGCTTGAGGGTGTTACTAACTGTTAACCTTAGCAATATTGATTGTGTTTACTCTTCTCTTGTTTTTCAGAGCTAACGAAGGCACAGGGAATTTTAAGGTGCAGATGTGATTTGAATATTTCTCTTATGCCACTATTCTCTTACCGCTTATGTTCACTTCAGAAATACGTGTAACCTGAATGTATTTATTTAGTTTCTTTGTTTTTCTTATATTGAGTGCAGCCTGAACTTTCACCAGCATAGCATAAATGAATAATCCTGCATTAGAGTGCATCGTCAAGCCTATCAATGCTACAGAGTAGGAGAATGCTTCCAAGGCTAGGAAACTAAAATTTTGTTGGGAGAATGATGTTGATGAAACTTCCCCTGGATGATTCTAGGTTGTTATTTTTGCATCTCCTTCTAAAAGGTACATTAGTATGGCTTTTCTTAGAATCCTGAACAATGGTGTAGTCGTTCTCATACAAAACTGTTTTTGAAGAAGATTGCCTAATTGCAGTGAAAAGCTCACCTAGGTTATTCAGAGGCAGCATTACCCAAAGCACAAAAATGGTCTAATTTGTGATATGATTGAAATTTAAACAAGAAAAATGATGCAAGTTTTGTGGACAGTATGATGCACTTCCTTAGTCTGCAGCAAATTTATTCTTTTCTACATCCCTTCACTAACAAAATTAGTTGTCTGAATGGTGGGCATTCTGCTAAACAACAAATAGCATTCCCAGTCCTCGCAAAAGAATGTCTCTTCTTCCAGTATAGATCGTATGACTGAGCTGAATTGGTGTTTAAAAAAAAAAAAAAAGAAAAAGCTGTAGATTAACTGCACATTGTGTACTGCCATAATTATTTCATAGGCTGTAATTAGAGATGTGCGCAGTATCTCATTCCACTGTTTTGGCTAAACATTTAGAAAAAGATTCTATTCAGGAGCAAGAAGGAGATATAATTAAAAATTATACAGTGTATGTTGCATTTTATCTTTCATTGTATCAACTGTAGGAATCAAAAGATAGAATAGCACAGAATATAAGAGCATTTTAGTGGTATTGTTAGCAACAAAACTCCAATTTTACTGTTGAAGAACTTGATCAAAAAGTGTGTTACTAATGGAAATATGGATTGTCCTTGTTCCATTTTTTAATCAATTTCCTTTGTTTTCAGCTGAGTTGATCCTTAAATAAGGATATTCTCAGGCACAAATCTGAAATACTGGGTATGACTGCAGTTACTCCTGCTCTCTTTAATACTAATCACATTTGTTATTATCAGAGCTTAGCAAGCAATTTCAAACTCTCAAAGAAGTAACATTTAATATTCACAAGGAGTTTAAATGTAAGTTCAATTTCATAAATAGAAATTAATCTGTAGAAGGGGAGCAATGTTCCTGAAAATGTACCTGGATAATTTTCATCACCTGTTATACCCCTGCACCCATGCAGCATTTTGTTACTCTTTTTTTCTCGTTACCTGTCATGCTACTGTTTGATGTTTTTGTATTTTTTAATCTTTTTACCTTTATATCACCTGCCATACTTCCTGGTTCTTATTTGCCCTTCTCTCTGGTTTGTTTTTCATCCTGTTCATTTTGGACCCAACAAGAATAACTGTAGGGCAATTCAACCGTTTTATTAACTTATGTTTTCTGATATTAATGCTTGTGTCAGATATTTACTTTGCCGGATAGTCTTAAGTGCATGCCATTCCTACAGGAATAGTTTTGCCTTTAAAAAAAAAATACTTGATCTAACATCATTAAGGAGTGTTTGTGACTCAGAAAAGTGATTTTGTGTGTCTTTCCCTTTTAAGCCATAGTGTACCTCCATTCACTTTAACTCCAGTGTTCTGAAGATGTAGAAGGAGAAAAGCTGCCCACCTTTACTCACAGTGAATAGCTCTATACTGCTTATAATTCTACTGTCCATAGACTGAAGTGCCATTCTGCCTTTGTGTATATTTAGATTCCTGTATGATTTTTAAGAAATACTGCATCTTCTAACTAATATTCATTCTGCAGTATTTTCAAATTCCTTATTGCATGTTAACTTCCTGCATCAGTGTATTTCTTCCCTACATTTTGTCTGTATTTTCATGCCTTTTTTTGTATTTTATGGTCAAGAGGTTTACTCATCAGCCTTCCAAATCCCTCTTATGCATTTTCACAAAACATACCCTGATCCTTTTTTAGCATTATTCTTTCCTTAATTATTTATCAGCCATATCTTTCTGAACTACACGTTGAACTTCATATATGAAGGGTTTCCTTTTTGTCTTTTTTTTTCTCCTGGGGGTGGGAGGAGAGAACAGGTTATAAGGCTTTTGGCTATAAACCATGATTTATATACGCAGCAAGCATAAATCCAGCATCATCAAGTTTGCGTTAGCTTAGGTCAGGTCTGACTGGCATTTCTAGCTCTTATACGTGAAAAAATTAAACTATTGTTCCAAAAACAAAGTTACCACATATCTTAATTTGTGATTGGATTCAAGGGTAGTCTTTGACCCCCTTCCCATCTACCTTTTTTTCAAATTAAAAGAATATGATGAACCTGGATAGTAAATCACAGCTGTTCAGAAGTTAACATAAAAATCCAATTAATTGACACAAAAGGGAATCCATTTATTACTCTGAACTCAGTCATCTGCTCTGCCTTTGTGCCTGTTTGCTTAGCTGCCTGTATCAGTAGTCAGCTGTTTTAAAATTTTATCCACAGAGAAGAAACCCATTAAAATTGTGGAGGCTGACATAATAAATGTCATCTTGTTGCAGTCCTTGCTATGAAAGTATTTAGAAATTATGCAAAATGGTTTCAGACCAGTCTTGCCCTTGTGTTCCGCGTAGTAGTTTATTTTAATTGATTCTAGAATGTCACGGACTGTTAAATCTATTCTAGCCCGAGTCATAATACTTCCAGCATGTCAAGGAACTTGAGATTCTTTGGTTACAAAATGATACAGTTTACCTATTTGAATTCATGTTTGATGCACAAGCCTGATTTGTGGAAAAGAAGCAAATTTTAGGATGTCTCTTGTGCTTCTGAGTAATTGCTTTCTGGGACTGAAGGGGAGCAGAGTTCTTAAAAAGCTGCATAATACCAATTTCTGTGCTGAATTTAAAGGAAATCTTATTCTCCACTACTTCAATAGTAAAATAGGACTGAAGTCAATAGGTGGTTATTTTTTGTTTAAAATAGCAGGAAGTTTGAACATGAAGTCTGTTAATACATATTTAGTGTCTTCTGTATGAGGTTATCTGGAAGTATATCAAAGAAAGGTCCAAAACTTAAGCTGTCTTCAGCAGTTACTGGGCCTTCAGTCAGGTTTGGAGTTTGCCAGGGATGATGGCTGAAAATGTACAGGGTCTTAACATCTTGCATTTATTCTTTACAGCCTTTGGAGAAGAAGTTTGTGCGTGTTTCAGGAGAGGCAACAATTGGACATGTGGAGAAGTTCCTCAGAAGAAAAATGGATCTGGACCCTGCTTGTCAGGTATGCCACTTGTAATGGCACGTATGAGTTTGCTGTGATCAATGTAATGCCTATGTTTCTGTTGCTCATTGGAGTGGAGAAGTAACATTAGGGTTTTTGAGTAAGTATTCTGTTGAAGTGTTGTGATCCTCAAGGAAGAGCTCTCCCACCTAATTTGCAACGTGTTTTAAGTTCTCATTATTATTTGCCAAGAGTTTCTAAAGTGCCATGTAAGATTTCAGCAGACAAAATTCAAAAACTTTTAAAATCAAGCTATACCTGTGTTCTGGATGTCTTTCAGATTTTGTGATCTTGAGATCGCCTACTAGAGGTAACTTGAGAATTTTTTTTTCCTGTTAGTTACTTTCTGCTTGGACTTCACCACTTTGCAACTCACTGTTAGTGAGTAAATGTTACTGTGTCTTAGCTGATAATTTCATAGACTTCCTTTCCAAAAAATTATTTTTGAGTAATTTTTAGACCCTGAAACAGATGGTTTCTGGTACCTTTTGAAAAGAAAATCACAGCAAAGGGAAATGAAAAGCTTTGCTAGCTTTTGAATAACTAGCCCAGATACTCATGCTAACCTCCAAAATGTTTTCTTTGTCCTTCCCTGGATAATATGCGTTGGCATAGAAACTATTGATTTGAGATCTAGTGCTTTCTAGGCCAGACTTCCCCTTGGGATTAATCTTATGAGGAATGTCCCTTATATGACAGCTTTCCATTTTAACTTCAGCTTACTTGGTAAGCATTAACTTACAGTTGCCTGTTATCATGTTTGTTACATAAATAGCTCAGTAAATGTCACTTCATGAAAATAATTGCCATAATGGAAAGGCTGCTTTATTTTAATACGAATTTTAAAAGCTGTGACCGAGTTATTAAGAGGATACACCTTCAATTTTCCTTTCAACAAAAGGTGAAGTTATATTTCCCACTGTCTCACTAGGAGTCAGTATTAGTTGGCTTCAAATTTACCAGCCAGTCAAGACTATAGTAGATCTATACCACTTCTGTTGCTGGTGCATCCTTCATAATAGAATATATTAATTCTTTTTAGGGCACAAGGATTGCTGTGAGACATACATTTTGCAACTGTTTTCCATGCTGAACTAGGATTTTTTTTTCATTGTATATTTTAATATTTTTGTCCTAGCAGAATGAACTCTAGCATAACAATTACCTAGCAGAAATTCTGCCTTAGGTGCTAGAATTTGATGATTAGACATTTGGCATTCTGAGCACTATGAGGAGGTGAATGAGAGAAAATTCCAAATTTATTAGAAGGCACTGATGTTTAATGACTACTGTTTGAAACTGGAGCAGCAGGAGGATGAGCAGTGGGATATTTTTGAAACAAGATTTCTCATTTTGTTTGGAAAGCTCATCAGCAGTTGCCCTTATGTCTGTTTATATTGTATATTGGGGTTGGGTAAATAGATTATTTGTTCTATTTTTATAGAAAATATAAAGTGTGCCTGTATGCACACTAAGTACCAGTGAGAACAAAATTGAATTTTCAGTACTTTACGGTACAAAAATTATGTAAGTAGTCTTATGAAACAGAAGTAATTGAACTCATCACTGGAAAGCAAAGCAGATATGTCTGTCCTTCTAGAGTAATAAATCTAGAAGCTAGAATGCAAGGGAAACAGGAAAAATAACTTTAACCAGCTTTCAAAAACAAAAAGATAGGTTTCTTAAAAAGCCAAAATGTTGATGTTAAATATATATACGTATATATGGATCAATATCTAATCAATTTTTAATGTTATATCAAGGATTTTGCTTGCTGCTTCCTTCTAGAATCTAAAAGGAGAAGTAATATGCAATTTACATCTTCTGCACATTTTGGAACTATTATTTAAGATTAAGTCTAGCATGGCTGGAGTATTCTGCATTATTCTCACGCTATATAGATGAAGTAAATAAGCCTGTTCTGAGTCTCTAAGGATTAGAATTCTTGTGTTCCAGTTTCTGAGAATAATAACCTGCCAGCGTGAGCAGACCTAAATCTTTTCATGAAGAACAGGAGAAAGATAGTGGGTCAGAATGCAGAAGAGCATAAATACAGACAAATTGCACTGAAGCACAAAGTACATCCTATCGTGGAGGACTATATAAGAGAAACCATGGAAGAGTACATGTAATGATACTGCAGTCTGCTTCCTGACTAGTGTAGTGGCAAAGCATAACCCTGCTCGTTGCTGAAAGCCGTGGAACAGCATGTTGTCAGTGCTCTTAATTCTGAGGTTTGGTCATTGTAATTCAGGTGACAGCCCTCTGGTTTCCACATCTAGGAATTGCTGATAAGGAGAATATAACCGAGCTGCAGTTGTGAGAGAGACAGTGCTGTGTTAGCTGCTCTAATAAGGAAGCTTATTTTTCATAATAGTCGAGGCATTCAGAATACCTCAGTCTGAATCTATTTTTTCCCAAAGTAACAGTCTTTGTGGGCCGGTCCTTACAGAAGTGCCACCTCCAGAATTGCAGGCATCACTGACATAGTTTAGCTGCAGTAGAGGACATTACTTAGAATTGCAGAGTACACCCTTCACTGGCATCACGGAAGTATTGATTGCATTTTGAAGGACTGTGTGAAAAGTATTTGCTGACAGAGGCATACAGTGAGCTTATTCTTTTTTATTCAAACCCTTCCTCCAAGCAGTCTTGTTAAGCAGAGTTATTCATACATTTTCTCACTCACAGTAAGAGTGAGGGAAGCACTGGCTCATTTCTTGCCAGTAGCACTGACAACTTGCCCTTTTTTTGCAGCTGATGAATGACTGAGGATGTTTGTGGGATCATTTTAATATGTAATCTAAATTCCCATTGAATCCATCACAGCTATTCCTAAACAGTTTTTTAGTGGAAATGCCCAACTGGGGCTGAACCAAACCGTCTTCTCTGATCCAAAAGTGAGCCCCAATTTGGGGAGTGCATTTGGGCTGTGCATGCTAAACGCATTTGAACAGCAAAGGTAAAGATGCCTATAGCATCAAAAACACTAGAATTCAACTCTTTCAAACAATGTTGGGTTTACTTTATGAAATATCAAATGTAAAGGGCTTAGATGCTGTTTTGCTAGTCTAAGGGTAGGTTGAACTTGACTGTTTTTGTGGGCTTTCACAGGTAGACATAATATGTGGTGATCACCTACTAGAACACTACCAGACGCTGAGGGAAATCCGGCAAGTCATAGGAGAAAGTGCTGTACAGGTACGTATGGCAGCTGGGGCTTTGTGCTAAGTTTTCTGGTTTAAATTAGAATATTTTTTAAACTATTAGGTAACACTAACTTGTCTGAAGAAATCACTTAGAAAATCTTTTCAGCTTATGCAAAATGTTCTTTATGTTTTGGTTTGGTTTTTGAGTACAGTCACTGTTAGAGGAGAAAATTACCTGTTTTGAGTTGCTTTTTTTCCATTTGCAAGTTCATTCATGTCAGCAATTGCTCTTTTTGCTGAGGAAAAGTGGGTTCAGAAAAGCAGATAAGTTTCAGTTTGTCAAAGAATGCATGTTCAAATTTATGCCTTTGGCAGTATTTACATTGGAAGAGTTTCTCAGAATTCAGTGCAGCATAACATACGTTGTGATTTGTTTTTCTGGGCTGTGATCGCTGTAATGTTTTAGGTGGTTTTAGTCCTAAATAGTTATTAAATGCTCATAGTGGTTTTGATTTTTGGGTTTGTCTTTTTTACATACTGAGCAGCAATGTGTAATGCTGTCTCAGAGCATGACTGAACTAAAAGGTACAAGGTAGTGGGATTTACCTGGTCAGAATTATTATGTGCCTTTCTGACAAGTGTTGGAAGATTAAATGTTCAACCTTCTTCAAGGTTTTCTGATTTTTTCCCAGTTTTGGGACTACAGTTTGGTAAAATAAGTATTCCTAATACAGACCCCATAGTAACTTATTTGTATTGCTGGAATTGGAGTGAATAGGTAACTGTTCTTAGTGGTTGAATATAAATGACTAACATGATAATTTTTGAGTACTTGATAGAAGGCTTTAAAAAAAATCTTGTTTTACTTCACACGTCTGTTTTTAATCATGTTAAGTGCACTTATGTTCAGCAAGTACAGTTTTACAATAAATTTGTTATAGCCTCGTAGATTTAAAGATACTTTAAGGTTTATGAAACGGGGTTTGTTGGTTGAGCCTTTCTAATTAGCTTGAAATGTGATTTTTAACTCTAGTTAGGGAAGAAAAATACAAATGTTACTGCACAGAATTAATATGAAAAGAAGTAACTGCTTAATTTTTAAAACTAAAGCTTCGGAAACTTACTGCAAGGAGTAAATTTCCTGCAAAGACTGACAGAAATTTCTGAAAGGCTCAGTTTTGCTACCATGCGTTGAGATCTGCCTGTGATCAAGAGTTTCCTCAAGTAGCTGAGGAAGGAAGCTTGTTGTTAATTACGCAGGCATATAATTTCTTCCCTGCATTACCTTCGTCCCCTCTGCTGCACAAATGCAACATGAGCCAAGCTGCTGGTTATTTTCTCCTGTCTGAAATTGTCCTTCTCAAGGCTCTGCGTCACTGATGGATATAATGAGCTCACACATGGGAAAAGCTAAAGAGAGTAGCTTCTTTTATGTCCCTGGCCCTTGGCACAGAGGTCTTGCAGATTATACTGCTCTCTTTGTAACTCTCACCTTTTTGTAACCCAATCTCATTGTGTTTTTTTAGTGTCTCCTGAGCTAGGCAGTAAGAGCTGTGATCTGATTTAATTAGCTTGACCCTCTAGCGCGCATCTGGTATGAAAGTGCTTTACTCTTTGCTGTGGGGATATTGAATTTGGAAAGTGGGGTGCTTCTTGTCACTGCTGCTCTTAAAACATCAAAAAGTGCATATGCTACGATTTTTCTGTCATTCAGCTTATATTAGTTTATATTAGGGTTTAACAGGCAGGATTTTTTCCATTTTAGGACAGGTCTACAAGTTTTTGGGGGGTTGCTGTAAGAAGGGTTTGTACTTCTTTTTTTTTTTTTTTTTTTTTACTTTGGGCACATATGAGTTATTCTGATTTGAGATCTGTAATAAGCCTCATTTTCAGATTGGATTTCCTTTTCGGAATAGTATCTAGAAAAAATAGCTGAACAGACATAAAAATGTATAATATCTAAAAAGAGGCCAATTACAGAGTAAGCCATAGCAGTACTGGGTTAAGTCTCAGCAATTAAGTAATTGCATTGGCTTGGCCTTTGGTTTAAGAAGGATATATCCTGTGTAAATAGCTAACTTCTTGAAATGTCCTATTGCCAAATACGTCCATTTGAATGCTCATTAATCAAAGAATACATTGTAGCATTTTTTCTTCAAAATCTTTATTTTCTTTAAGCAACTTTTTCATAGAGGAAAATTGTTTTGATCACAGTTCTCTGAAAGGAATTTTGAATGTGCTTTATTTTTTTTCTATGGAAATAGCCAGCAGGCACAATGAGTATAAATACTGGCTTTGTGGAGGTATAGCAACATACTCTGTGCCACGAGGTTGGTAAGTAACTTCAAAGGACTTGTTTCACCTAGCAAGAAGTGAAGACAAGTATCTCCTATCAACACTTTGTAGTGTAGTCATCCCACTTTGTTAGGCATAGAGTAAATGTTGTTTTTGACACTTCATATAAAAGAATACTTTGACCCACTTTTCTGCATTTTAATCCCTTTGAATCATTGGACTCAACGATATCAGTCATATGATCAAGACTGGAGATCAGAACAAAGCGTTTGGATTTTATTTCCCTTGGATTTGACTTGCAGATGCCAAAGTTTATGGATTTGAAAGTGACTGAGCAAGTCACTATAAAGTTTGTGGGTTTTTTAAATGCAGCCCTTCACACAGAACTGTGTAACTTCTGTGGAACATATCTCAGGTCCTAATGCTAATGGATAAAACATCAAAACCGAAATACGGTAGAAATTCCAACGTGTCAGCTGTGATTAATGTATTTCTATCTTCAAAAGAAAACACTTACTAAAGCCTGTCCATATAAATAGGTCTAACGTGACAAGTCAGATTCCCAGGGGATCAGTAGCAGGAACAGGTTTCAGAGGTGAAAGCAGACTAACTGCTAGACCTTTCACCAGCTGTGCGTGTGAATTAAGTGATATGAGTAAGACATTAATGAGTCAGGAAGTATCCCATCTCACAGGTGAAAGGTTCTTTTGTTAACTTCAGTAGAAGCATGGGGATTTAAGAAGTGTTTAGTTGTGCATCTAGAATTAGGAAGAAATGGGAAGCTGGCACCATAAGTTCTCTAACTATTTCTGCATAAGGAAAAAACTGACAATTATATTTAACGTGTTACTGACATGTTCAAGACTCTGGCTAACTTGCAGAGATGTAAACAGTGCTTTCTTATTTAAAAATAAAAAGTTTAACTTTTGATATGATCTGTTATATTGTCTTTCTATCTTAGTTATCCCAGTTGCTAAAGGTAATAGAGCTGCAAAAAGGTAGAGCCACCAGTGAATTTAATAAAATTAACATTAAAAGTTGGAATCTGAGTTCCATTCTCAGGCAACTATGTGTTTCCTCCCTCTTTTCCTGCATTCTCTTTCTGTGTCTTTTTGACTTTCAGTGTCCTGAGTTAATGACCAGATTTTGGCAGCTCCTTCTAGAGCTATTTAAGTGATTTATTCTGCCTCATAGTATCATGTGGAAAGCAATATAAGTTGTAAAGGGAGCCTATTATATGAAAATGAGACAATTCCATTATAACACTTAAAAATTGCATTCCTCTTATGGAAGGGGAATGCTCTGAAATGAGTGAGGTTGAAGCTGCAGTTCTGCTATGCAAGTGTCATACCGAGCTGTGATGGAAATGCCTTGTGGAGAAGGTAAAGTGATATGATAACAGTTTATCTCTCTTCTCTCTAGGATGGCTTACTTGTACTGCACTATGGCCTCGTGGTGTCTCCGCTAAACGTAACCTAGATTGCTAATACATCAGAAGGTGAAAGAATGCAAAGTCCTCAAGCTTCTTCACTGCTGTTTCTAACCAAAGAAGGCCATCGTGTTTTCTGTGACAGGAAGCAAGTAAAAGGAACCACTGCTAACTGCTGTATGCTTGTAATTTAACATCGGACTTTATCACTGTTTAAAAAAAAAAAAAGCTTCTGTAGGTACAGCTGTGGATGTTGCTATGCTATGCTTTGTGTTAAAAATGACTGTCTTAAAATTTCACTCAGCTCAGGGACTTTAAACGCTCAGAGTTGCTGCATTTCTTTAAATACTTCCTAAAACCACAAGATCTCATGGGGTGAGCAGCCCTTTTCCTCTAAGCTATGGGATTTTGCTTACTTTCTAAGTGTCTAGCTAGAATAGTGCTCTCAGGGATGATCTTCAGTGGGCAGTATAATGTATTCTGGGGAAGAGACAGTCATTTGGTAGAAAAAAGTGAATGGTGATCATTTGTCTTCAGACGTGATTTAGGGAGAAGGGAACTCTTGAAATACAGACCAAAATAGGTAGAAAATAATGTATCACAAACATTTTTTCCAGAAGTAGCATTAAATTTACTTGTTTTTCTTGAAGAAAAACAATTTTGTTTGCACTGGAGATAAATTTGCTAGTAGCTTGACTTATACCAAATGGTGGATCGTGCATCTCCACTCTTAATGGAGATGAGCTGGCTGTAAGCTGTTTAAACTATGCATGGAAAAGAAAACGTAGCACCTCTTTCTACCTGCTTGCTGTATTTACAATAATCACTGTCAGCTTGATTCTGCTGTCATGTAAAATCTGTCAAATGACTTGACTAGCAAAAACACAGGTTCTTTAATTTTAGCACCCATCTTTCTAGCAGCAGTGAAAAAATAGTAGCTTTTTCCACGCCTTCTAATGTGTATTAGTGCAGACCAGGTTTGAGTATGTTAAATAACATAATACGTGCCTATTACTACTACCAGATTCCCAGAGGACAATAGATACCTTTTTTTAAAAAAAAAATAATAATAACGTAAAAATGCTAGGGTTTTGTGATAATTATATCTCAAGTTCTGTGTAAGATTTCTATTGTTTCTTGTGCAGCATTAAGGATCAGAGCTTTGTATGTTACAGTCTTGCTGTGCTCTCAGTCATAAACATGGGAGAGATCTGTGAAAGCTGCTGTTAGGTACCAGGCTCCCTTGATGGTCAATGTAGTAAAGGGGGTGGAGATCCCTTTGTAAGGCATTTCAGAGTGCCTAAGCTAGCTCAAAAGCATTTGCTCCCTGTCATATTCACTGCTATGCTGTCAACCTAGGAATACTGGGATCTTTTGTCTAAAAAAAGCTTTCATGAATCCTTCCTCAGGTCTTTTCAATAAATGTTCAGTTTTGCCTGTGAAGATCACACCATAAGATAAAGTCTTAGTGGAAGTAATTCCCGTGATGCTTCTAAAAAAATTAACAAACATTTATAACTATGGTTTCCTATTTTACTTTCAAAGTTTGTACAAACTTAGTGTTTAAAATGCAGCAGAAAATGGGATTATTTTGTAAACACTTTGTGAGTTGTGTTGATAAGAGATTATATATTGTAACAGTAAAATAAAGTTTATTTTAGCCAATTTTAAATTGAGCTCTCGTATTTCCATTCCGTGCTACCTCTGTCAGCCTCAAAATTGTAGCAATTTAATATTGAAATTGCTGGATGTTCTCTGGGGTTGTTAGAATCACAAACTTCAGTTTAATGGTGAAAGGTGATTTAATACCAGAATCTCCAATTGATTTTTCAACACAGATACAAGGCCTATGTAGTTACAAGACTTTTTTGTGCTTAATACAGACATCTCTTTGCCAAAGCCACTAAATTATTTTTGTTCATGTTTCTGGTTGTTGTTAAGTCCCCTGTGAACCAGGCCTTTCTCTGCCATTCTGATCGTCCTGGCTTTATACAAGGTATCTGGCTTGACAATACTGTCTCTTCTTGTTTCATCACTACTTACGGTTTTGTTTATATATAGCTCTGTGCTTAAAAAAATAGCAGTATAGTCACATTTTACATTGCAAATTCTCTCCTACTCCTGGCTTGAACTTCATGCCTACCGAAGGGCTTGTTTCCAGAGCTAACCAGCTGTATAGAAGCTGATAGGATTATTGTAGAAGGACATAAATTTGAATTAACTAACTTGTGCATAGCTTCAGGATGACAACATTGCCACTGCCTCTGAGGTGAATGTCAGTCTCTGTTTTAATAAATAAAAACTAATGGCTGATCAACTAGGTAAACTGTCTGCTAAATTGGTAGCTACTGTTTCTGAAATATCTTTGCTGTTTATCTGGGGGTAAATCACATGCTAGTAAAAATGCAGATGATCAAGACTCCCTTTTGCACTCTTCCAGTGGCTTAATGAGAGGTCAACTGAAGCTTCGATGCAATTTTGTTACCCAGGCTGTTTTGATTTGAGCCCTTAGTGACCTCTTTTATTTCACATTTGTTCACTTCTTTTCTTCCTCAGTTGCCTTCAGAAAGCATATTCTTAGCTTAGCCTTCTGGCTGAACATCCTGCTTTCTTCTACCCTAGAGCATTCCCTAAAGGTGCTGATGCTCTATCTGCTCTCCAGCTCCTGCTGCACCCCCTGGGGCTCTGCTTGGCACATCAGCATGCAGCGAGGGTGACCTTTGGCAGTTGCCAAGGCTGAAATGTGGGCTGTGCAGTTTCCTGCATAAAGATAATCAGCCTGCTTGCTTTAAAATGTGCCAATCTTCTTTCAGCTCTCCTGCTGCTGTTTATTTCTGTTGGTCTCCTTTTAACCTTGGCTTTCCTCCAGTCACTTCTGGTTCTGATGATAGAAGAGCTGTAACAGCAGACCGTCTATGGGATGGCATCTCTGTCCTCATGGGAGATGAGCCAGCTTCACACTCAGGAAGCTGAGAGGAAGGTGTGCTTGGACTTGTTAGTTTACAAACAGTATATCATTTCCTCACTTAATAACTCTGGTTTCATTTTCTGGTTACCTACTTATCAATGGCATGACTAAGACAGAACTTAATTAAATACTATTTGTACTGCAGCATAATTCTGAGTTGCCTTATAGATCTAACTCCCAAAAAGAGAAGAACATGAGCCCTAGTGTCGGGAGTTCTCAGAAATGCAGAATCAAGCTACCATCAAGTCATGAGTCATGTTGGTTATGTTCTGGGTTTTGTTTTATGTAGATTGAGTGTAACAAGATATGGTTCAAGAGACTAGTGAAATGTGCAGCAGAGCTGTCCTTAAAATGGAGGGGCACTGCGATGGCAATGTATAAAATAGTATTTTCTGAATGCTGCTATTGTACCCAGCCTTGATCTGTATTACCACCAGACAGAGGCACACAAGCCAGGAGAGCCCTTAACACTTACTTCCATAAATGTGAAACAACTGATGAGCTTCACTGAAAAATCCCTCAAGCTGTCTGATGCTATTCTGTTGAGTTTCTTTTCAGGGAATCATCCAGCTCTTATGTGCAGTGATTTATGTTAACGTGTGATATCAATTGCTAGCGAATCAGAATTACGCCTCAGGCTTTTTTCTGGCTTTTCTTCAGTGTGGTGTGCCACATTATGCAATCTGTGCTCCATCCAGACACTGAGTGGGGATTCGCTCCTGCAGTTGAGAGAGGAACTATTAACAGACGTAGGAGGTTTTTGTATATTATCTTTTGTTTTAAAGGGAAGATAAGTTGTCCACATGAATCTTCCAATGTGCTGCATATTTAATAGAGAGGGGACACCAGGGACCAGACTAAGTGTTTAAGTGCTTTAAAATATACTTGTTCTGCTGGGATAGATACTTGCTGAGAGATGGAGAGAATGTTGCAAACCACGTTCTCATCACTTTTGCTTCTATTTGTTTTTCTACCTCCTTTTACGTAACACTAACCAATTCAGCACAAAGAGAAGCAAGGTGATGGTAAGTTGAATTTTGCCCATGTTATTGTTGAGACCACTGCTGAATGAGCTAACAGATCCTTATGTTTGCTGAGGTTTCAGAAAATTGCCATAGATGCAAGTTTAATCACTGAACAGGTCAAATTTTGTTTTTGAGCCATGAATGGTAATCCTATCTGAGGTGAAATGTGATAGTGATTGGTTGCCCTGCAGCTGCAAAATTCTTGCTGAAACTGTATCACCATTTTTACTGGAGTTTGATGTAATATAATGATATATTTGTGTTAAAGCAACAGTGATCTGTTGGAAAAAAACATGGAAAAAAGCTTATATTTTCTTTTCGCTTGATGAAATAATCTATTTCGAAATGAAATTGTAAGATGTCTGTTTTCTTCCAAGGGAAACAGTAACAGTAGAAAAGTGGGTGGTGAGGATTTGGCAGAGATTATGGCAGAAAATAGTGTGTTCCTGGGGGAGGTGCTTTGGAACCCTTCTCGCACGGTGCTGGGAGGCAACCAGTCGTTCCAAGATGCCACGGTGTGCTCAGAGCTGGCTGCTTGCAGTGTGCTTTTCTGTAGGTGGTGATGACGGAAGGTGCTATGTTATATAAAGGACCGGTGTGTCCTTCCCTGTCTACAGCTGGGACCGAAAGGTAAGAATTCCCTGAGCGAGAAGCCTAATGACCTTGGCAAGAACCTGCAACCTACAACTTCCTCCTGGGACGTGAGAGAACATTTTGCCTGCTGTTGGCAGTAACAGATGCTTTATGTGCCATGACCTACAGACCAAAAATGGTGCTGGTTGAACCTGCATGAGGAAGCTTGTGAGGGGGTAAGCTGAGCTCTGGGACACCAGCATTCTCTCTTCATTTCTCTCCCTGACTTACTGTATGACCTTGAACAGAACTCCTCACTTCTCAGCTGTGTCCAACTAGTGCAATAACTTCTGTAAAGCACACAGAGCACTATGAATGGGAAAAAAACCTCCATGCAACTACTGGGTATGGAAGGGTGGGTGATTAGCAGGGTACTACTGAGGGTCCCCTTCATTAATGTGAGTATAACAGGACTGGTAACAGTACCTGTTACTAAAACATGAGGACTGCTCCTTCTTGGTGTTATGGTGGACACAGCTGAGCTGTCAGTTCTGAGTTGTCTCTTTGTGGTGAATACTGCCTTAACAAGGGTATGAATGTTTGCTGTAGAATTGCAGGGCCCCCTCCATTTTAGCTGGGTGAATTGCAGGGTTTGGGATGAAGACCCCTGCACAGGCTGTAGAATTGCCTTCCCTCACGACCCCATAATTGCAGACCTTATATCTGCAAACGTTTTTTGTTCAGCTGGAGTCCCCTGGCATGAAATGGGATAAATAGGCATTAAAGCACCCATGTTGGAACACATCCCTGAAGTGCAGCGCACTACAGCATGCTGAGTTTTGGGACTGCCAGCTGTTCTGCTGTGGCAAGAGGGCATTTTCCACCTCTTTTCCCCTTCTACCCTAATCCTGCTTGGACTGGGACTCCAAGGGTCAGATTCCTCACCACCCCAAGCAGTGCCTTGTCTGCTTGTTATGCTATGTTTGCCAAGTGATCCTTATTCCCATACGCCTGCAAAGAGTCGCATGAATGAGAAGGGTTGCATGAATGAGTTTGCAGTGCTCATACTATTTCAGTATAAACTTTAATATGAAGTGTCAGTTTCCACTGATGTGTGGACATTTGATCACTCAGGTGCATGTTTGACTGCTGGCATTAGGGCTGTGCGTGTGTCACTTGCTTGAGGATGAAGCTCTTCTTGGGGAGGTCTCTCTGCTAAGAGCTGGCAAGAAGAGAACTGGACGGATCCAGCCTAAGGAGCAGGAAGAGATTTTGCCCTGAATTGCCTATTGATTCCTTCTCCCTGAATAACAGGGTCCTTCCCAAGTCTGGAACTGGAGATGTTTTCCTTTGGCAGGAATGCAAACGTTTGGGGGGTGTTTCTTTGGCTTCTTTTTCCTTGGCTTACTTCTTAATGAGTTCCAGCATCTGGACAAGTGTCAATAGCAAAACTGTGTGCAGTGACTCCCAGCTTTTAAGGAACTGTGTACCTCAGCACAGTTACTGGAGGAACCTCCAGGGGTGCCAAAGGACTATTGGATCCGGGATCATGAAGGAAACCATCACGTCCATCACTGGAGCAGCAGGAACATGACCCAGGCTGCAAGGGCTCTCCTATCTCATCCTCATGGCAACAAAATGAGCAGTCAGGCAGCCACAGAAGAGCACGGCTGCATGGGCCAGCATCTTCACGCAGGAAAAAAACAGAGGGAGCTCACACCCCTGCATGGGAGCTGGTTTTCTCCCCACCGTAAAGATGAAGGGAAGGCAGCATGATGGAGGAATGGCCGCTCCCTGCTTCTTCCCGGGTTGGTGGTGCAGTGTCTGCAGCTGCCTTTTAGCTGGGAGGTCGCAGCTCTGCAGAGGTATAAATCTTTAAGCAGCTGAAGCGTGACTCTCTCCTTTCCTCTGGCAGCCTCAGTGTTTAACCCGGTAAGAAAGACAGGGCCATGACAGAGGACACACTGCCCTGTCCAGCCTAGTGCAGCACCAAACCCTGCAGCCTTCCCCGAGCTCTGGAAATGCAGGAAATCTCTGGAGAGGTCCCTTACAAAGAGCTGCGTCTCATTCCAAAAAAACACATCCTCTGCCAGCTCCTTTGTTCTC